ATGTTCGTGGTGCAACACATGTTGAATGAATACCCAGCGTTTCGACGAAGGTGGATGTTCAACACATATAGTTCTGGCCAAAACCAGGTCAAATGAAACTACCCAAAACCAGGTCAAATCCGGCCTGCCCCCTCTCCGTCTAGGAGGGGCATCCTGCCCCCCAGTTGCTGCCCTGGCAGTTGCTTGTGCCAGAATGGTGGGGACACGGTTGACGCTTTAATCCACACAAGAGCAGTTGATGCAAGGCTTCACTGATTTGCATGTTCTGAGGCAGGAGCTCTCGCAGGAAGAGGGGCCGTGTGGAGGGATCTCCACCTTCAGCTTCGGCCAAAGGAAAAATCACCAAGAGAGTAAACTAAAGGTGACTAGGAGTGAGCGTGTTTGCCTGGTGGCACGAGCGGTAACGAGTCGTGAAACGCTGAGACAGGAGAAGGTCAAAGTGAGGTCATGACAGGCGAAGACAATTCTTTCTTTAGCAAACGCTCAACTCCAATGTGTGTATTGCACAGCCGGCTGCTGTCCACAGGATTTGAACTCAGGATAGCCGGTTGAGTTCAAAGAATACCAAATGAAAGGACACAAAATGAAGGCTATGAAAGATAAGCTGATGCATCAATTATACGATCTCAAGCAAGAGCGTGCCAAAATGCAGCAATGGGAGTTGAACCATGTGACCTAGCCTCCAAACGGGAGCACATACGCTTGATAAAGCAGGCGATTGGACCCTGAGCTGGTACCATAAATCCTTGCCAAACAAACTTGCCTGTCTCCAGCTGCCTGTTGCTCGCTCGATCACATAGAAAGGGATTGAAAATCATGCCTAGCTCTACTTCTTATTCTTGTGGAGACTTCATGGGACACACTTCAAGCTAAACTGAGGAGACAATGGACAACCTTGGACGCGTTATCATCTGGTTCCCGAACATGCTGCATGAAAACAAGCAGAGCACCTACTATAGCCGCTAGCCAAACGCACTGAGCGCCCCACGGTTCACTCTGGCGGTGGAATAATGCGCATAGTTGGCCTCGCAGTTCAAGATATCACGATGGCTGCATTTGCCAGTGGTTTTCAAAGCACCTCGAAGCCTTGGAGAGCCGCAGGGGCCACAGACCTTGCATGGATTCTGCTGGATGGCCGCTCAACTAACTTTTTCTGCAAGTTGAGACATCTTTTGACATGCGATACTCATCGGTTCCGGTAGCCAGACAGCGGGGGTCGCCCATTGCAGCAAAATGACCACAACATCCAATCTTCGAGGTGAAATGAGCTCCTGGCACCACTTTGTCAGAGTTGAACCTGGCTCATCAAACAAACAATCACTGTACGCTCATTGCATACATAATCTTCAAGACCTCGCATAGCTCAACGCCCAAACTGACCCACTTCAACTCGCCCAAGCTGTATAACCTTCTCTTCTCCCGTGATATGATTGCACAGCACGCCTTCCCATCTTACGTCCCTCATATGTGAGCTTCAAAGACCAAGCCTAAGCGTGCCAACAGCTCCTTTGACACTTGAAAAGAATAACACCAAGGTTCCCGGCATAATTGGGATCTGTGAAATTAATGAAGCAATAGCCACGGTTCCTGAAGGGAAAGAACAACGAATAGCATGCAGCTCTGCTTATGAAGCAAAAGCTCACAGTACTCAGTGTTTAGGCCCTGGCGCGTTAGTTTCCGGATCAATTGGCAGGTAGAGGAAGTCAAAAGTCCCCAAAAAGCCAGACCTTCAGTGGCACAGCGCCGTGCCCAATTGAAACTTGGATGGGAATTGCTGCGTCTGGTCCATGCATCGATTAAACTTGTTCGACGAACTCTTGGGTTTAGGCGAGTTCAACTCTTCCAGAAGCATCTGCTGGCTGTACCTCCAAGAGGACTACTTGGGATATCTTGGGAGGTGCTGCTCAGCCAGGGACGCACGCCGGGCACAATTGCACAAGAGGGCGACTCAACAAAGACGCTGCACGATCAAGTATGCACAGTGTATCACATGGTGGTTTTCAGTCACCTGTGATGCCTTGTTCTGGTTTGCTGTTGGTGCTGGTGGTGCTGTTGTTGTTGCTGCTGCTGCAGGTGGTGGTGGTAGAGGCAAAAACAGCCGCCCAACATAGTTGTCACATGTTAATGTTGTAAGTCAGGAACTTCAAGGGGACGCGGTTGCGGATAGGGTTGAAGGTTTGAGGACATATTGTTTTGGTAGGTAGTAAGTAGCTGGACTTGTTGGATTTGTGTCACTTAAGTCTTGGTTGGTCCATTCCTATGCATTAACGCCTGCTTTCTGCTGGCACCTTTCTCTCAGGTTGTGATCTGCTTCCCGGAACCTCCTCCACATGTTTCTTCATCAAAACTCTTTAGTCCTGCAGTATGTAAATGTGTGTCAGGCGTCAGGCGTCTTCGTTGCCCATAAATCAAAAGTGTCACTGCAAACGTCCTTCGTAACTCGAATGTTGCCCAGGTTGCAACTCGTCCGGGTTAGGTTTGATATTGGCCGTCAAACTTCTCTTTGCAAAGCGACGCACCACATTGCCGTCCGCACCGCATCGCCGCTCGGATCCGCTCGGATCCGCACTTGTTTGGCAGGTTTCGAAGCATCACGGTGGTCTTCTGACACCAGTCAGGTGGCACATCTTGACCTTGGACGGTGCTGGGTGCCTTTTTTGGTCGAGATCGCTCAGCTGGGGGATCCAAAGTCGTGGACTTTCATCATTCCCAGGACTTGAAATCCGAAAGGGCAACATGATCACTATAACACAACCTACTAGCGATGGCCTCCAACCTACAACACAACCTCTGTCAAAGTCTGTGCAGAACCATTGCTGAGTCGGTCAACTAGTGCACTACGCCGAAGCACTCAACAAAAGAAGGTTCGAAACGGTTGTCAAACTTTGCTTCTGCTGAGAACGAGCCTGTTGGCTCCGGGTCTATCTTGGCCTAGCGCCACATTAGGACATGATGTGGCAAGCAAAGGGACCATGACAGGTATGACATGCGAATGACATTGAGTTTAGTTTCAACATACTAAAAAAGAAACGACACATGGTGCTGGTGCAATAATTTGTTCTCACCGCCTGCACCGGCAGCGATGGCTGTGCCACGAGACCCAGTGCTCTGTCCTGGAGTGGTAGTCCACCCTCAGCACAGCATGTCACTGAGAAGCCACACTTTACAAACGCAAGGACCAAACACACGAAGGCCACAAAAGGCAACTAAGGCATGCGAAAGAAAGACTCCACCCGTGCAACAGTTCTCTAACTGTCCATCGATAATTTTGTCAAACGACTGAAAACTCATTCCAGGATGCTTGTTTACTCTGTCGTTTTTCAGTTGTGTTGTTCTGTTTTTCCGTTCCTTTTTCTGTTCTTTCCCTTCTGACCTTACTCCCCTTCCTTCCTTCCTTCCTTCCTTCCTTTCCTGCCTTTCCTTCCTTTCCTTCCTTTGTTTTCCTTCCTTTCCTTCCTTTGTTTTCCTTCCTTTCCTCTTCATTGCACCTTCAATCCCATTGTCCCTCAGTGCAAAGCCTGCGGCGCCCACTCATCCTGTTCCTGTTGGGAACCAATATTGACTTGAATTGGCAAGTGCTGCAAAGCATTAACATATACATCTAGAATATATAAGTTTGTCTTTGACTTGTGCAAGGGCGCCTTTTCCAAGAATCTGCAGTGAATGGATTTGTGTCGCGGCAAAAGGGTTGTGTAAGGTTCCGCATTTGGAACACAAAATCCCACTTTGTTGACCCAACGGCTCTTTACCAAAGATTTGCATTCAGAATTCAGAGCGATCCTTTCCCATCTGCTGCAACGTTGCGGCATCAACTCCTGTCACTCAGTGACAACTGGGAGCTACTGCGGCATTCCCAACCACTTGAGTATTCCCTGGCAAAAGTCAACCCACGCCTCCAAAGGGATACCTAGGCGACTGTGGGTCAATGACGTGGGGTTGCTTACTGAAGCTGAGATCCTTGCGGCGGAGCCCAAGCCTCTGGTGGTGACACCAAGCTCTACAGTGCAAAGGTATGCGGCAGGATTCTCAAGCAGAAATGCTTTGGGACTTCAAAACAAACAGGGTACGTTCGGCTTTCTGGCAGCTCAATGTGCACGAGGAACACAGAATAGCACTGAAACCAACTGTTGAAAGTGGGGAGAAGAACCTGCGCTTGAGTGGCTTGGCCCAAACAGTTATATAGTTTCCAAAGAATAATTTCAGCCAGCAGTCCCGCCTCAAGGCCTGGCCAATACAGTCAACTTTGCAAACTCCATTTCAGGTTCCACATGTAAACACAACTATGTGGATCCACAGATTGGCAGTTCTATTGTCTATTTCAAACTGCGCCTATCATCGGCATCGTCTGCATTTGGGGCATGTTCGTGGTTGCCCATGTGGGCCAGTGGAGCTCAGTCACCTGCCATGCACAGGCAAAATAATCTGCACTGTGCCTGGCATTCAATGGCATTCGCAAGAAAACAAACAAAAAGGAAACTGCTTGGGGATCCCCTGTTTGACCGAGAATGATCTCTCTGGCAACACCTGTCGATTGAGAGGAGAAGTGCCGTTCAAATCTGCATCTTCGCCATCCTGAGCAAGCGGTCATACCCTTGTCGTACGAATACATATAATTGCACAAGAAAAGCAAAATGTTTGTAGATTCCAACATTGCATGGGTGGGGAAGATCGGCAAAATGCAAGTAGTCTGGCCCAACCTGCTCATCGTCTTGCTCCTGACACGAGGTCTAGAGTCAGTGAGTCGGTACGTTTGTTTCTTGGAAGAAATAGATGTGGCGATCTCATTCAGTCTTCACCACATTCACAATGAATGACTTCGTCATTTTCAGCTCGCAAAGGACACTCGAATCGAATCACCTGCACAATTCCCTCCTTCGGAGGGCGCAGCGAGAATTTAAGCAGAAACAATAAGAGCGGGCTGTTAAGCAAAACCTTTGGACGGCTTCCCAACCAGGAATCCACCCTTGATTCTGATTACTTCGCGCAAAAAGACCCAGTAGTCAGATTGATACCTGAGAGGTCTCCATGCCGTTGACCTCAGCATTGAAGAACCAACAGACTGTGACCTGCAATTCTTCACTGGTACCAGTAAGAGTACTGTGACAAGGCTTTCATCCAAGAACTGAATAACACAAAGGACGCAGTAGAATCGAGAATCTCTCCCTCCATCCTCCATTCTGAACATGTTGCCGCCTGTGAAACCTAGTCTTGCAAATTCAATACAAATATTGGTTTGCTCCTGATAGTGCTAGTCATGCCGCTTGTGACAATGGCATCACGAGCTCCAATGGCACACGGGTGCATTCCGTGTCATCCAGACCAGCACCAGACACATACTCCTTCCATGCAACGTGCCAAGCCAAGCTTTAGGTTTGTGTTGAGCAATGGTAGCCACACATGACCAACCATCAATTGTTTGTGAAAAAAATTAAAACGAAGAAAATGCAAGTGAAAATGCAAAAGCAACGCAGTTACGCAGTTTGCTTTGTTTTTGCATTTGTGTTGTTTTTGTTTTTGCTTTTTTTCTGGTACCACTTCTGCACTTATCAGAAGTTTTACCCATCAGCAATATTAGCCGTACGCTCCTAGGCAAAATGCGGGTGAAAAAAAAATAAAGCGAAAAAACAGTTTGAAAATATAGCGGAAAAAACAAAGATTTTGTTGTTTGCTTTACCTTTTACTTTTTTGCTCAAAATGTCATTTTGGTTCCTTGTATGGGTCTTTCCACAAATAGGGCAGGCGGCAATGCATGTTTAACCTGAAGGTATGTTTCGGAGGTATGTTTCGGGGTATGTTGCAAAGTGTGTTTCGGAGGTATGTCTGGCAAATCCACAAGCAACATCTCATTTTTTGCCAGTGTTTCGAGGGTATGATTCGGGGGTATGATTCGACCTATGTTTCGGATGATGTTAAACATGCGTCCCATCTAAAGTGTTTAGCACTGGCTGGCGTGCCCTACTCAACTTTAGGTATGGAATCTGATTTTTAGGGAATTCTCTTTTGAGGGAAGAGGCCCTCTCCAAACTGAGATTGCGATGCTTGACTCCATCTTGTTGTCACTTAGTCTTCATTCGCTTGTCACTAGTGACTGAGACACTGAGCATCTCGGAAAGATTGGCAAACGATTGCAAAGGTACATGTATACATGTACTGCGGTAGCCTGTGGGCGTTGACCCATGGGCGGCCGGAGCCAACGCAAGCACACATAGCATCCGCCTCCGGTGGGTTCCTGCAACAATGGAGATTGAGTGGGATTGAAGCCCAACTGTGTGTAAGGGCTGAAGTCCAGAACTGTTTTTGACCAACACAAGAGTGGAACTAAACAATCTGCCTTTCTTCTTGAATCTCAGTCTGTAACTCCGGCCTGCGTCACACTGGTCACCAAGGCACGATAGCGACGACTGCTATCCTCTCCTTTGTCGAGGCAATGCTGCTAGCAGATTGTGAAGCACGGTTGATGAAACTGCACATGCTCGAAAGTATCTCCCTTGATTCTGTGTACTATGAATGCACAGTTTTCGATGCTGCGTCCCTAGTACAGTTGAAGGTGTCAGTTGTTCGAAGTTGCGCATTTGATTTGGTTTAAAAATGCAAAAAATGTAACTAAAAACTGTAGATACCTGTGCGGTGCCACATGGATCACTGGAGAACAAAAACGTTTTCGCATCCGGAGCTGAGTGTGCTGCTGATGTTGAAGTCTCAAACTAAAACTAAAACAACAACTACTACTACGTCCTCCTCCTACTCCTGCTCCTACTCCTACTCCTACTCCCACTCCCACTCCCACTCCCACTCCCACTCCCACTACTACTACTACTACTACAACTACTCCTCCTGCTCCTGCTCCTACTCCTACTCCTACTCCTACTCCTACTACAACTCCTACTCCTACTCCTACTCCTACTACTACTACTACTACTACTACTACTAACTCCTAAGTACGTACTCCTAGCTTACAACTATAACTGCCAACTGCCAACTAATCAACTACTAACTACTAACTACTAATTACCACTACCGCTACCACTACGACTACCACTACCACTTGAGGAGACGGGGGTGGACGAAAGGTAGCATGTCCCGGAGGTGGAGAGTGAATCCAACCAAGCATCAGGGCTCAAGAGCCATGGCATGCGTCGATCTGATTCGAGGCAGTATGAAGAAAAAACAAAATACAAGTAGTTCCCGGGCAAGCCGGCGGCGGAAGTTTCCTATAAGAACAAATTGACCTATAGGAGTGTCCACGTTCTCTCCAACATGCGCGTCCTCCAGTCAAACGCACGCGCTCCGGACTTTTGACCCACGGGATTCCACGTGTGTAAGGTGTGTGTGCCCCCTGCGAGAGATGACACACATCCGGCCACCACGACTTGCCAAGGATGCGGTCCACATCGACACACATCCCACCGTGGCATTCTTCAGTGGCGGCAAACCTTGCATATCACACATCGGACTGAATGGAATCCGAATTTGAATGTAAAATCTGTCTTGAACTCTGAGACTATGTATGATGAGTCTTGTATGATGAGGGGTGTATGACAAGTGATGAATGATGAGTGGTGTATGTTGAGTGGTGTATGATGAGTGGTGTATGACGAGTGGTGTATGATGAGTGGTGTATGATGAGTAATGTCTTGACCAGCAGTTGAATGTCCTGTCCTGCATAACTGCAACCAAATACTATCAGTGTGAACTGTGCCAAACCTGCACGCCGCGAGAGATGACTCAGCAGCGAGAGATGACTCAGTCGCGAGAGATGACTCAGCCGCGAGAGATGGCTATAGCGAGAGCTGACTCAGCAGCGAGAGATGAATGAGCAGCGAGAGATGACCCCTCCGCGTACTACACTGTTCGCCAGTACAACTCTAGTTGTACTACGAAGTCGCCAGTCCTCAGCTTCTAGCTGCACAGATTGCTCCGCGTGCTGAAGTTGTACTACAAAGTCGCCAGTTCTCATCGTCCAGCTTGCCAGATACTCCGCGTGCTAAAGTTGTACTACAAAGTCGCCAGTTCTCAGCTTCCAGCTCTACA